TGTACACTTGACATACTGAAATAGTACTTACTAGCACACAGTAGGTCTCAACAATGTCACTACTCTCAGTTGACAGCTATATGTATCTTTCATCCCTTTCCCACCTCTGAACTGTTTGGAAAGATGAGCTTTTTTCTAACTTAATGTACAGCTGCACGTTTAATATCTGGAGGCAAATCTGATGCTGGAGGATTTCTCTCTGCTTCGTGTATTAAATTTACAATAAAGTCAAAGACAGATGGCTAAAAAGAAACCCTAAATCATTTCTGAAATTATTAAATCTTCTAGTCTGAGGGCTCAGAGAGCCCAAGAAAATTTTCTTTTAATCCCTATGGGCTTTCGATTCCATCGATGAAGTCACAGAGCTAGCCTGAAAAGCAATTTTGTGAAATCATTTACCAGAAGTGGGGGGGAAATCATTATGGTCATCCTTCTGAGGTTCGCAAGTAATAAGCATGCTCTATTCTCCGCAAGCCCAGAAGAGCTGCATGGGCTTGACAAATAGCTGGGTCTGGCCCAACTGCAGCTCTACACAGATGTCTGTAAATATTGTAGAAAAGAACCCTCACAAAGTTGGTGGGTGTTCCTGATGCGAGGTTGTGGACATTTTTGTTGGCAAACAGGCAGCAGCTGTCTGTCTCCCCCGAGTGGATGACTAGCTGTCGATGGGAACCTAGAATTCCTTTGTTTACCTAGCAAGTATCTTAACCAATATGGCTTCCTTTAAAGCAGTGTTTCTAAACTAGTGGAGTTTTGCCCTTGTTTCCTATCCCATCCGGGGGACATCTGACAACATCTAGAGATATTTTTTATTGCCACAGCTGGTATCTAGTGGGCAGAGACCAGAGATGCTGCTAAACTTCGTACAATGCACAGGGCAACCCCACCCCTAGCAAAGGATGATGTGGCTAAAATGTCAATCAAGCCCAAGTTGTCTTAAAGTACTAATACCTTGTTTTATTATGTCTTTTTTATTCATTCATTCATTCATTCGCGCAACAAATATTGTTCACCAATTTATTGTTGAACGTAGAAAACACCGAGTTAGTCATATTTCCGTATATTGCTAGATTCATCAATTCACTCATGAAATGTGTGTTTATTGAGCATCGACTCCAGGCCAGGCACTGGGGTCCTGAATGGCACAGGTGGGGTCCTTCCTCATCTGGGGTTTACTTCCTACTGGGAGGGAGACAAGAGTCTCAACAAGTCAACAGATAAACAGATAATTTGTTGTTGTTGTTTATTTATCTTGAGAGAGAGAGTGTGTAAGAGAGAGCCTGAGTAGGAGGAGGGGCAGAGAGAGAGAGAGTCCCAAGCAGGCTCTGTGCTGTCAGTGTGGAGCCGGATATGGGGCTCGGTCTCACGAACCATGAGATCATGATCTGAGTCGAAATCAAGAGCCGGACGCTTAACTGACTGAGCCACCCAGGCGCCCCAAAAGATGAACAAGGTCATTTCAACCAGCGGTAAATACAATGGAGAATGTTGAGCAGAGTAAGAAGCGAGAGAATGGCCTGGGCAGGTGGCTGTGAAGGTACTTTCAGGAGGGGCTTTGGGAAGGCCTTTCTCTGTAGGTCACGTTGAAGCTGAGAGATGAATGATGAGAAGGAAGCAGCTCTGAGAAAACCTGGAAGAGGAATGTTCAACACACCTCTGTTCCCAAAGGCCTGAGTACTTTCAGGACCAGGGACATGCCTGCCACTGAAGGCTGGGGGAGGCGAGGTAGACGAGAAGATGACCAGAGGGTAGGTGTCAAGGCTGGGCAGGTCTCTACAGCCCGGGAACGAGTTGAGACCGTATTCCAGGCACAGTAGGAAGCTGAGGGAGGATTGTAAGCAGGGTGGACGTGGTCTGGGTTAGGCAGTAGCAAGCCCACTTGGGTCGCTGGGTAGAGAATGCCCTGTAGAGGCGCAAGGTGGAAGTGAGGGCCCAGTCAGGAGCTCACTGCAGGAGGGAAGCCAGCTCACACTGCCGTGGGTAGAGAGAACAAGTGGGTGGATTTGGGAAGCATCTGGAATAAAGGCCTTGGGCTTGCCTGGATATGACCCACTACTCAGTCCATGGTAGGTAGCTGCCAGCCGGAGCTTTCTCTTCTCTGGTCAACGCTGGTCCCGACAGCCTTTGCTCTGCATCCTTGGTGAGCCAGTCCTGACTTCATCCAGGCCAGTGCCCCCTCCCCTCCCCAAGTCGGATGGAGAGCGTCCTTGACTATTAGGCAGCTGGAGCCTGGGACCCTGGCTCACGGTTTTTAGTCTTTCCCACCATGTGGCCCCTCCTGACCCTGACCCTTTGGCAGCCTCCCATGGGACTTAGGGTAAATTTCAAATGCCCATCTGGCCCCGGCTCACCTAGTCAGGTACTCCTTACACCTGCTTACACCAGCCTGTGGAAACTGGCCACGTGCCCCTCCTTCCCATTCTTGTCCTTTTACTTTTGTGGGTCTCTCTGCCTTCCGGGCTCTTTTTGGTAGCTTTTTGCCTCTTTCATGTCCCAGCTCAAATGATACCTACCCTTTCTTCTTTGAAGTTACTCAACAGCATGTATTTTCAACCGGTGAAAGCAGTGAAAATTGGTTCTTGGTTCTTGGAGGATGAAAAAAATCTTACTTTTTTTTTTTCTTAAATGTTTTATTTATTTTTGAGAGAGAGAGAGAGAGAGAGTTAGGGTGTGAGTGGGGGAGGGGCAGAGATAGAGGGAGACACAGAATCGAAAGCAGGCTCCAGGCTCTGAGCTGTCAGCACAGAGCCCGACACGGAGCTCAAACTTACTAGCAGTGAGATCATGAACTGAGCCAAAGTCAGACGCTCAACCGACTGAGCCACCAAGACACCCCCAAATCTTACTCCTATAATCTGTAAAGCACAGATATACATCTAGGACATAAAGAGAAAGACAGATAGCTAGAGGAGAGGTAGGGAATTGATAGAGAGAGATGATATACCTGTGATATTAAAATATAATAGAGGGGATCCATTAGGAAAAGAAGTATAAAAAGTCTGGTAGGAGGTGGTAGGAAGGAAAAAAGTTGAAAATCACTGCTTTGTGGAAACTGCCCCTCTAGTCCACTTGCTTGCCTGCATATACCCTGATTTAATTCTTTTCAGGAATTTATTACATTTGGCAAATACCCTGCTGATTTTTGTCCACTTCAGTGATTTTGCCCCTCCCCCTCCCTCTAAATGTAACCGCCGTGAAGCCCAGGTATCTTGGCACAGTGCTGGGACATTGTCATTATTCAGTACATGTTTGTGACCGCGAGATGATCTCAAATACTAGAATAAGGACCCACAAGGCCAACTGGACCCCTGCTGGCTTTCAACTCTCACTGAAATGCTTCCAGATTTGTTGAATCCCTTTTGAACACTGAGTTTAAGTATAACCCCCTTCTTTGCTCCTTCGTCAAGTTCATCGCTTAGCCCTGGTCCTGACCACCTCCAATTCTCTCTCCTTCCTGACCCCTGAGAACCGGTACCCATGTAGTCCAGCCCTTCCATACCACTGAGATTCCACAGCGAATACCGTACAGATGTCTGACTCGGTAAATTAAAAACGTTTTTCAAGGAAAGTATAACAAGAGGCTAACTGTCTTGGAAATTACACAGCCGAAGGAATGCATGATTATCTGATTTAACAAGAAGCTGAATCACAGTGACCATCTGCAAAAGAAAAAAGACTGGAGGGATGCAAGCCCAAATGTGACAGTTCTCCAGTCTCTGGAGTGTGGACTTGCCGTTCATGTTCTCATTACACTTTTGTTCTTAATTTAGGAGTTTCCTACAATAAGCATGTATTTCTTTCACCATAAGACACAAGAGTTTTGGCGGATGGGTTTTTTTGTTTTTTATTTTAAGACCATCCATGATACTGCAAGATCAGAGAAGCATATACAACATCCAGGACCAGTCCTATATGATTACACGTGGACCCTCACAAAGTTTTTTGGGAGGCGATTTCTGTGCTCTGGGAAGCCATTGTTTTTTTGGCCAACCTAGCTCATTAGGCAAATAGCACTAGCTTCCTTGTCAGGACAATACCTACTCTCTGTTCCACAAACCATTGTGTTTGCCAGCTTTCTTCACGGATGTCTGTGATTCCCAAAAGTATAAAAAAGTTCTTGTACTGCAAGGCACTCACTCATGCAAAATGCAAAAGCCACACACAGAATACATTCCCACATATTTTAAGATATTTCTCAAGGGCTTCATGGCTTCCCAAAGCCAACAGCCTGACCTAGGAAGATTTCTCAGTGAAATGCCCCCTTGAAATCTAGGCTATACTTCTTTGTTTTTCTCCCCACAGATAGCTACTATGACTGGCTTCCACAAATGTCCAAAGTTTCCCTGATCCTGGAGAATTTTCTAGATCCAACCTCCCCCCTAGCACATTCTACCTGTACCAATGCAGCCAGTTCACACTTTAGTGAAGGTTCTATTAGGGATTCTTGATTTTTTTTCATGATTAACGAACACTTTCAAATACTAGAACTTTTGGCAGATTGATTAACGTAAACAGTCCAATACAGATCTGACAATTCATGAATAATCACAATGCCCATTGTGACAGCCACCACCAGCATCTTGTCTCCCAGGGTCTCCCAGCATCTGGGTTTAACACATGGACACTTCAGCTCTGAGCCACGGTCTGCCCCAGGCTTGATGTCCTATGCCCGCAAGGTGATAATATAAACGATGTTGCAGCAATATTCACACCCTCTTAGAACCCAGGTGGATCGTCCACACCCACTAAAACTTGGTGGCCTGAGAGAGATTCAGATGGTAGGCTAAGGCCCATGATTTGAGAACCACTATGGAACTCAAAGTGTATCTTACATCCAAAGCATGATACGATAGGACAGTGACTTTTAGGACCGTCCTTTAAAACGAACAAACCTGGAGAATAACCTTTGCATAAAAGATTATTTTTATTCTGGCTGCCCAAATCTCCCTGGACTAAAACCACATTATTTTCTGGGGGGAGAGGGGAAACACCATTCTTACCTCCTCCAGGGCCCACAGGGAGTCCACCACGGGCTTGATCTTCTTCTGGTTGTAGAGCCCAGTGAGTTTGTCCACTACTCCTCGAATGAGGCCCGCACGGCCCTGTTTGAAGAGCAGATTTAAGAGGGAAAATCCTGCGATGACTTTGTTCTCTTCATAGAGCTTGATGGGGTTCACCTTCTCCACCTGCCACCACTGGAAGGAGAGAAGGTGTCAGTTACAGGGAAAGAAGCCAGCCGTGTTTGCAGCACTGCGGGCGAAGAACAGGGCCACAGGTTCTGGGTCCCACTGGCCAAGTGTGGCACTTGTTGGGGTATTTGTTAAAGCAGCTATTCAGCTAAGCAGTGTTGTGACTGCAAGGTGACATGTTGGAGCAGAGCCCAGGGTGTGGGTGCGAGCAAGAAACAAACACTCCGAAAACAATTAAAAGGCCACGTGCCATCAGGACATTAAGGCACAGGGTGAGGACCATCTGCTCTAGAGTCGAGTCCTGGTTCCGCCACTTGAGCCCCCCGTTCTTCTATGTGCTTCGTCTCCCTCAGCTACAGACAGTGCCCGGTACTGCCCCTCTGCTTTCTGGGAGAGTTTAGTGTGTGAATGGTGGTGGCAGTGACAGGGTTGGCGAAGGGGTGGGGTGTCATAGAAGGCCACCGAGTGTGGTGGGGACTTGGTGGGACGATGATGCAGCCACAGGGGCAGCTTCCCCAGGGGCAGCGAGGGCACGGCTGGAGAGCCGGGCAAGAATCCAGCTGAGACAGAGTCAGGGAGTTTAATATAGGCAGACGGAAAAGTATGACAGAACCGAGACACCGCAGCGTAGGGATTAGCCAGCGGTTCTTGTCTGAGGAAAGTGTTACTGCCCATGGGACGTTTGGTAGTGTCTGGGGATGTCTTTGTCATGGGACTGGAAGGGAGGAGAATCTACTGGTATCTAGCGCGTGGAAGCCAGGGATGGTGCTGAAAGACAGCTCCTCACAATAATGAGTAGTCCAGCCCCAGACGCCAGTACTGCTCAAGTCCTAGATGGGGGACACACAGAAAGCACAGCTATCTCTTTTCCAGCCTCTCATCCCCCATGCCAGACATGAAATAAGTTTAAAACTCCATTAACAAACTACAGAAATGGTGATCCAACTGTTTTGTTCGGATTTAACTGCATCTTCTTTGGTGCTGGTTAGAATTTAGAAATCCCACGTTCTAGTTTCTAGAAGGCTCTAAGGCAAAATGGTTAACAGTTTAATGCAAAGGCCAAGAGGGACGTGATGGGTCCTTAGGAACATTCCTAATATTTACATTACAGGTGCATTTATTTACACCCTGCCTTTCCTGGATCGTAAAAGCTCACCAAAGATTTTGATATATATATATTTTTTAAGTGGGAAAATCATATTGTCAGGAGCATATGTGTGAGAAAGACAAGTCAAAAACAGGGATAAAATGCTCGCACAGAATTCTTTACTAACGTGCACTCCCTAAGGGCCTGGAGGCCAGCTCTAGAGACACGTATTTGGCCCTGGGCTGCTTGCGGCAAAAACAAGGCAGAGAAATGATTAATGACTTGTTTCACAAAGCACCTGCAACGTCTCAGGAAATGTCCGTGAAATGAGTGCCTGCCAGCTCTGCAATTTCTGCACAGTTGTAGTCCAGCGGGTCCTAGAGACACATGCCTGGTTTTGAATCCCAGTTCTGCCAGTTACTAGCTGTGCAACTTTAGGCCAGTCACTTAACCTCTCTATGCTCTTTGCCTACAGCGCCTCATGGGGTCGTCATGATGAATAAATGTGTCAATATATACAAAGTTCTTACAACAGTGTCTGACCTGGAATAGGTCTCTAGATAGACCTCTAAATAGAAATATAAAATATTTCTCAAAATATAAAATATTTCTATTATCTTAAGTTGGAAGGGATGTTTTTGGTTTGGCGGAGAGTGCTGGATTTGGAGTCAGGCTGCTTTCTAAGTGTTAACCATCATAAACCATCTTTATGGTCTAAAGGCAAATGGCATGTTCAGCCAAGAGTGAGTATGAGCTCTGCAAGGGTATTAAGGTAGAACATACTTAGGATATCCGAGTGAGAAGTTCTTGGATGGTTCCAAGTATGCCTTTAATATCTAAGCCTTTCTCCAATGTATAGAAGAACGTTCCTTTCTAGAACCTTCTAAAACAAAGTCATCCTTCCACTCCTTGGCATGCCTTATCTTCATTTTGCTTCCAACTGACCAACTAGTATTGGACCAGGCCTCTGAAAGGTCATGCTTGACCTCCAACTATTTAGCATTCTTGTGATCAGCACCCCTATTTCAGGCGGGAGAAGCTCACCCTCCCTCCTGGCCATGTTTTTATGAGAGCTTTTATTGAACCTGGGCACACTGCAATTATTTCATTAACACTGTGTGTTGTGACTGTGCGTTTAGGGGAGAAAGGGAAAACACTTCTTACAATTGCATGTAATTTGGGATCAATTTGGATACCCACAGCAGGCTGTCGGCATCGCGTTAATTACAGCCACAGCCACAAAACAGCTGTGAGTGGCATGAAGCCTATCTTCAGAGGACCTGCTCAGACAGCATCCTTCGTCACACCCCATGCCTGCTTCCTAGCTTCTGTAGTTGCAGTGATCCTTGGCCTGAACTCTGAAGTTCTGATGCAAAGACAGCCCCTTTAATTCTAATCACACAGGACAGGGAGTCCTAACCAATCCAGAACCAGGGAATGGTTAGGGGTGAAGCCTTGCGCATCCAATGTTGGCACTTTAAGGGACATATGAATACCCCGGAGTGCCACACTTAGAATCATTTCTAAATCCCATTCTACAGCTTTCCCTGGCCACCCTATTCAAAATGCCTCCACTCTACCCTGCACCCTCTTTCCAATCCCTTTCAGAGTTCTTATGACCATTTACAATAATCATCTTCTTCATAGATTTTATTTATTTCAGTCTGTCTCCCTCATTAGAAGGTAGGTGTCACAAGGGACTACAATGAACCCATCTCATCCACTGAAATACCCTGGTGTCTTGCCCACGTGGCAGGTGCTCAAAAGATACTTGGAAAGTGAGTGAATCTATCAGTGCTGCTGAGGAGAGGAGAGGAGGGGACAAAAGCAAGCTCTCACAGGACGCAGCAATTCCCTGTTGAGGGGACAGTGGTAAAAACCGAAGTTCAAGCCCAAATGAGTTTGGTTCCAGCAAGTGTTGCTCTAGGTAGGAATACAGATCTGAGTAGGTTGGAATGTCCAGGGGCGTGGCTTCCTAGCTGCAAAGTAACCGTGACATTCAGAGCATGATTATTGAAGCTAGTAGTTCACACATCTACCTGTGTCTTAAATCACCCTGGGGGCTTGCTGAAATTGCAGGCTCCTGTCTGTATCTCCAGCTCAGCAGAATGGAGAGACAGAGAAATCTTAAGAGCCCCCAGAGAGCCAGTCAGAGCATGGCCACATGAAAGCTTGGTTTCTCCGTGGGGCAAATAAAATGCCCAAAATGCCAAGTGTATTTTTGACGCATGATTGAAAGCACAGAAACTTAAGCGATCTCTGCTGACATCAAAATAAAGCGTTTTTGAGTTTCTCTGAGGCTGGCACCTCTCTGCTTCATCTAGGCAAAGCAGCGTGAGTATGCACGCAGCCTTGCCCACGTGTAATGAGCAGGATGGAACGAGGGCTCTATGGAAAACGAATGATGCAGATGGCAGACACACAAGATTTGGGTTATTAGGTCAACGTCTTTACACGGGGAGCTCCCAACGTGCGAGTCGCCACACTACCCCAGTACATTTGACAGGTGTGGATACTTACTGACTTTGCAAAGCTAAAGAAGCTCTTGGTCTCTCCCGTCACCATATTGGATGAACCTGCAAATGGAGAAGTCCCAAGTCAAACTGTTGCTGAGGAAAATCGGCATCTCTTGCTACACATGGAAGAAGGGGAGTTGTTTGGTCCAGCACTGTCAAGCGCTTGAAAATAACTTGAATTCAGCCTTGGAGGAAAGAGGGAAATGGAGAGGATGGGTGGCAGCAAGTTGACTTAATTGGAGCCAAGTGTCATGGGATCAAACAGAAAGAATTATTTCTCAAGGTGACCATGCCCTTACTTCAGAAAATTGGGCATGTAGCAAAAATGGGATTTAGGTTCCCCACACTCTAATGAAGTGATGAGTTGCTGAAATATCTTATTGGCTCTTCAAGTCTGGAAATGAAGTCTTCAGTGAGCCTAATTCGTGGTCAGAATTTGATTCCTTCACCAGTTAAGAGGCTCTGCTCAGGGCTGGGCACTTAAGTGGCAGGGAGAGGTATAGCTGAGCTAGAATTTAGATGGACAGAAAAAATGGGGTACAGAAAAGCAAGCAAGGGTGAAATAGGTTCAAATGCCAAGGAAATGATGTGACCAAAATACTAGCTCCAAAGAAATCTGAGCAGAAAGGTCAAAACCACTTGAGAAAAATGGTGTGAGAAACTGAGCTCTGCTAACGGGAACACTCAATGCTCAGAGAGAGGATGAGGGATGGAATTAGGAAGATTTCCTAAGATGTTCTTACAGAGAAAAACTCCCTTTCAGAGAAAAGTTCCTGGGAGTGGGGAGGGGATGAGAGAGCTCTTAACCTATCAGAGGCCACATTGGTGTCTTTTCAGCAACTCTCCTGCCTTCTCCCCAAAGATCGGGAGTAAGTCCTTCTTAGTCCATTTCCACTTGTGAATGAAAAAACAATGTATATTTTAAACTTCATTATTTGGCTTGTGTGGTCCAGTAGCCAGTCACTTAATCACTGCTTCTGCTTTTACCACCGAGCATAATGGTACTCAGCATTGGTTACTCAGTAACCGATCTCATCAATTAGATGCTCTGTGAGATGATCGAACCATATTCTGCCAAATGACATCATGGAACTGGGGCAAAAACAGAACTGGTGAATAAATAAGAAGGAATAAATTGTCCATCTAACATTGGACTCACATGTTATCATTTTAGAATCAATTGGGTAGTCAGTTTTAGTGAGCTCAACTCACTTGTTAGTCATATCCAGGATCCCTAAAATTGTGCACTGACACTGCTCCTTTTATCAATAGCAGTAACAGTTAAAGAATGACACATCCACTTTCAAAGACTTTCAGATATGGGGCCACTATTGAAAATACTGGAACACTCCAGCAATGGGAAGCTCATCTCCTCTCTTTCCGTCATAATGATCATGACAAAAAGATGCTCGAATATTTATACCTCTCAAATATCTCTTTCATAAGCTTCTCAGTGAATAGCAGAGAAATGAGTATATATTTTTTTGAGTTCTACAGAGCTAAGGCTCAATTTTCTATTAGACCTACGGGGGACAGAAGTGGCAAAAATCTCAAACGTTGGATAACCCCAGTATTATTGGGCTTTAGAATGTGATATCTGGCTTCAGATATGCTTTTTTGACTTTGTAGAGACTAATGTTGAAATTGGTTTACAATCGTATGACAGGAGAGAGAAAGAGGAGGCGGGGGAGGCTCTGGGGTCTCATTCTGCTGGAGAAAGTCTCCCAGATAACTTTCATACGTCCCCTCGCACCCAAGAGGGTATCAGGGAACGCCGAAAGCAGATGCGTGCTCCAACCACCCAGGGCTTCTTATAGGACATATCGGAGGAGCTAAGAACAGAAGATGCTGTAATTTGCATATTCATCTCCAGTGGGGAAGAATCCCCCTTAAAACCCCAATATCCTCGCCACTCCTCCCATCCTGCTGTGGGTCCTTGATTCCTTCCTTTTTTGGACTTCCTTTGAAGCCATTAATATTTCCCACCTGTGCCACTTTCTGTGACACATGCCCTGTCTCAGTGACTACACCAGCTTGGTCTTGCTTTACCCCTTTTTGGAGTGAGAAGTATTCACGGGGTTAACAGGGAAATAGGCACGTATGTTACTTTTATAACTGAAAAATAACTACTGGAGGGGCACCTGGGTGGCTCAGTGGATTAAGCGTCCCACTTCAGCTCAGGTCATGATCTCACGGTTGGTGGGTTCGAGCCCCACGTCAGGCTCTGTGCTAACAGCTAGCTCAGAGCCTGGAGCTTGTTTCAGATTCTGTGTCTCCCTCTCTCTCTGACCCTCCTCTGCTCACTCTGTCTCCCTCTCTCTTAGAAATAAATAAAACATTAAAAACATTTAAAAAAATAATAACTACTGGAACTAGTACTATGGAAAACATTTAAAAAATGAAGCCCCCCCCCATCTCATTACCCCAACGTATCAGCACATTGTCAGAGCCTTAGCAAGCACACGTGCAGTGTCTCCCGTTACACACTTACCGTATAAAATATAGGTTCCCAGTGGTTTGAGAAGGCTGAGGCCTTTTCCAGTGTTGTCCCCACAGAGGCAATCCAGCACAATGTCCACGCCTTCCGCAGAGATCCTAAATGGTGTGAAGACAGAGAAAGACAGATACTGTAAGCCTCACGCGAGGGACCAACTCAGGAACGGCAAGGCCTCTGGGAGCAGCCACAAATAGGACAGAAGGCTGGGGAGTGAGTTTACCTTCCTGGGTCCAACTACGAGAAGCTCACGAAGCCAGAGGCCACTAAGGGTCCGGCTGGTGGCTGATATCAGGAACCAGCCTGGGTCCGGTGGGTGAGCGTGGACATCACAGTCAGATATCTGGATTTGTATCCAGCATGGCACGCAGCTCTCTCCTTTGTAAAGGGGAGCGAGCACATTTCTTCGGGTGACCTATGAAATGCCTGGTCGATTGCGAGCCACATAACAGTCACTCCGTAAGCCAGTCACTCAGCAACTCATATTCGTGGAGCTTGGGTTATGGGCCAGGCTCTGTCTGAGGTGCTGGAGACAGAGTGGGGAGTAAAACCTACCAACACGTTCCTGTCTTCATGGGGCTTCCAGTTAAGCAGGGATTCGCTTTCCTTCCCTTCTCCCTGCCTCCTCAGTGAAGCTATAAAGACACGTTAGTATAACTCACAAACTTCTATTCATCCCATCTCTAGGTTCAATAAAAAAATGGAATCTTTGAGGAAGAGGGTTAAATAGAGAGGCTCTTCCCCTCTGGGGATACACATGTGTATCCTATTAAGCAGACGAAACATTCCTTGATCCCTTCTTCCATTCATTTATTCATACATTCCAGATTGACTTGACGCATTTAACAAACATGTACGGGGCTTCCACTGTTAGAAGATATTATGTGGGACAGCGCTACGCACAGGAAGGCTCCAGGGATCGTAGGGAAGATATGCAAGCCCCCAGAGCACTTATTTGTCGCTGGGCCCTGCTCTGCTTAGATTTATGAGTTTGCAGGATTATCTTGTCTTAGCACGTAGGTCAATGTTTCCACTTCCACCCTCATCTCCGAACAGAGTTCAGGCACTGCCGCTCATGTCAACAGCTGGGTCCTGTTTTCGTAAGTAGGAAATTGCATGTGTATGTCTATGGCTCAGATCCTAAGTCAACTGCCTCTACCCCAGGGCAGCGGAGTCCTGACCTTCGAAAGCCCTCAAGTCGAGTCCAAAGGCATTATGATGACTCAACAAAAATGATTAGTTTTGCTTTTACCTAATAGAACGGTTATCTGTAAAGATAGGTCCGTTCAAGTCCCACCTGTAAGTTGAGAACTAGGGAATGAGGCCAGAGGATCTAAAACCTAAGTGTGCATCAAAGAGCTCATTAAAACAATTATTCAATTGGCCCTCCTTCCCCCCTCCTCTTAGCTTCTGATTCCGTTGGTTTTGGAGTGGGTCCCAAAGATTTGCATTTGTAACAGATTCCCCGGAGGTACCGATGCTGATGAGTCTGGCTCCACCCTCTGAGAACCACTGGTCTAAGCTAGCTACTCAGGGGCCACGCTAGCATTACTGTTTCTTTATTAATAATTAATTTGCTCATTAAATATTCAGCCCTGGCCCTGCACTAGGCCCTGGAGACTTGGCGGTGAGCCCAAACGGTTCTGATTCCTCCCCTTTTAGAACTTACATTAGGCAGATGTTAAGCCCTATTACACAATTGAATATTAAATTGCAACTGAATGGGGGTCTAGTGCCACAAAGGTGCTAAGGGACTGTGTCAATCTCGTTTGCCCAGTTAGGTATGCCCGAGAAGGCATCTTGGGGAAATGCAGACTAGGTGTTATCTAGGTGAAGAGGGGCAGGGATGGTTTTCCAAGCAGGGGAATAGCATGTGCGAAGGTCCTGTGGTCAGAGGAGGCCTGTGAGTAGAAAGCAGCCAGTTTGGCTGGAGTCTGGAAGACGAGAGGAAGCAAGCTGAGGTGAGGCCCGAGAGGCGGGTGGGCGTTGGACCACACACGCGGTGGGGTGGGCGCTAGGTTGGTGCCTCCCACCTGGTGATCAGGTCTCCACCTCGTGTCATGGGCTTGGTAACTACGCTCCTGTGCTCCTCACTTCTACCAAGTCTTTCTTCTGCCAAGCGTGTTCACTCCCGTGGAAGCAGGACCCTGCTTCTGCTACCAGCCCCCTGAGCCACCAGGTCTTCTCTGTGAACTCCATTTCCTTTACTGCAAGATGCCCACGTGGCTGAGGAGCAGCCCTCACGTGCTGGGCAGCCCACACCTTCTGGGGCACCCCTTGTCCAGCCCCGAATGCTCGCTTCCTGCCTGATGCTCCTCACACCTCTATTCTCCTGTGAGTACACACTTTCGCCCACAAACTGCCAGGCACAGCTGCCCCACCTAGGCCCGCTGCTCTGCCCTCCGGCTCTGTGGAAACGCAGGGCAGCCCACAGCTAGGGGCGACCTGTAGCCTACTGCCCACTCCCTCCTCAACTTGCCACTAATTGCTCAAGGCATGGTGACCTTGTAGCTATTCCTAAAACTTTCCTACCTCAGGGCCTTTGCATATGCTGTAATATCTGCCTGAACAGCCTTTCCCCAGCTCTCCTTAGAGCTGGCTCCTTCTCATCCTTCACGTCTTACTCACATGAGACTTCCCCAGAGATGCCTTAACTAACCACGGCCCCTGAAGTGGCAGCCCCAAATTATCTCTATTTTACCCCCCTTTATGCTTTAGCATCTGTACCAAAGACACTCTTCAGTATCTATCACAGGCTGCAATTATCCTATTTATTTGTCTCTTCCACCAAAATAAAAGCCCCATGAGACAGGGACCGTAGTTTTGCTGCCTGTTGTATCCTCAGCCCTTCTCATCCTGCCAGACACAGTGTTAGTTCTCCGCAAATACTGAGGGACTGTATGAATGGATGATTAAATAAAGGGGTGAGTGAATGACACAAGGCAACGAGGAAAGCATTTTAAGACTGGCATTCCACATTTCTGTATGTGTGCTTCCTTCAAAGGAAACTCACGGTTTCTGAGCTCTACTATATCCCGGGCATTTCAGAATTAATCTTCGTGATCCATCTCTGAGACAGGCATTTTAACTGCACTTCTGTGAGGAAGAAATGGAGGTTCTCGGAGGCAGCGCCTTGCCCAAGCTTATGTAACTAGTACACCTGGAATTCAAACTTCGGTCCAGTTGCATTCCAGAGCGATGGCCTTTTCAGCACCATTCTGAATTTCAGACTTAATAAATGTTCAATTCGGTATAATTATGGAAGCATGGCTTTAGCAAGCAGCTCTGGGAAGGAGTCGATTTAATGGAGTCTCTGAAACATTCTGGTTTACATGTTGTCCTTAAAACGAAGTACAGAGGCGCCTGGGGGGCTCGGTTAAGCGTCTGGCTTCGGCTCAGGTCATGATCTCACCGTTCGTGAGTTGGAGCCCCGCATCGGGCTCTGTGCCGACAGCTCAGCCTGGAGCCTGCTTTGGATTCTGTGTCTCCTTCTCTCTGCCCCTCTGCCACTTGTACGTGCACTCTCTCTCTGTCTCTCTCTCAAAACTAAACATGTTTTTAAAAAAATAAATATAGATACAGCCAGAGTTAGACTATGTTATTGCAAACAGAGAGGCCAAGAGGCTTCTATTTTTAAGCTGCTTTTTTCTCATCCTAGATGATACAGGAGAGGCCCCAGGTCAGGGTTCTGCACATTTGTCCTAAATTTCCCGCCACTGGACAACCACTTGCTGATGCTTACGTCATGCTAGGCGCTGTGTGTGCTGAGCTGGGGGTACGCAGATGAGGGTTCCAGGTGATCCCTGCCATCCGGGAGTTCGTGGGTACCCGGGAAGACAGACTAAAGGGACAGCCAGACCCAATCACTGCAGCCCCGACAGAGCCACGTGGGGCAGTGGAAGGCGGTGCTGCTGCTCAGTGCTGACGGATGAGCAGAAGTGGCCAGGTGGCAGTGGAAAGAAAGGCATTTTGCACAACCACTGTGACAGGCTGACCTCGGGCCATCAGCATCGAACAGACCCAAGGAGGAGGCTCCGGGACACCAACTGTCGTAAACGGGGACCCAGCCTGGACACCGTCTCCTTCCAGAGGGACCCAAGCATGTGCCCTAGCTGCCACCTAACATGGGAGTGGTGGGCTGGGGTGGGGGTGGGGGTAGCCTAAGGGCCGCAGAGCACTGGGCTTAGGAAAATGAATTTCATCTCTGCATTTAGCACTTAGCTTGCCACTTCCTTGCTGTGTGGCCTCGGGTGAGTTACTTAGCCTCTCGGTGTCTCAGCGTCCCCAGCCGTGGAAGAGAATGAGGGCAACAAACCCGCCCCTGGTTTCTCTGTGAAGCCCGGCTGAGTTGCTGCACAAGGAACCTGATGCTCATGGTCACTTCAGGGTCCACAGTTGCTTTTTTGTTTTTTCAGAGTGGGCCAACTTCAGGAGAGTTCTTTCAGTTTGGTAAAAGAGCATCCACGAAAGACTGCAAAATGCCAACCATGAGCCCAAGCAACCTTTAGGAGGGGGAGCCCCCAGCCCAGAAACCATCCGAGCAGAGGCTTGCTACCCTTGACCCTGCTGGCACAGCACTTGGGCTGTGCCAGCCACAGTGCTGAGCACCTCCTGAGTCCCGTCTCACTGAGGACGCTTCATGCCAACCCTGAAACCCAGGGGCCATCATTATCCCCACTTAATGGATGAGGAAACCGAGGCTCCATGGGGTGAGGCAACATGCCGTAGGAGCCACTGCAGGGAATGGCGGGGGTGGGGGAGACTCTGGCTTCACCCATTACATCCAAAAACCAAGTGAGGGCCCCAGAGGCAGAGCCGGGTCGCCCAAGGTGAGCTGTGGTCAGCCCTGGTGACAGCCAGTGTCACTGGTGGGCACACAGGCTCTGGGCCGGGACTGCACAAAGCCGGGGGCCACTCCCTGGGCAGCCAGCAGGTGAGTTTCAAAATGGAAAAGGTGCCCCACCAACCATTCAGTTATTCAAGCCCGACCAGGGGACCAGACAGAATGGGACTCGGGGTCGGGTCTGGTTTGAATCAGGGCCTCCCTTACTCGTGCTCACAATGAAGAGCCCCTTAGCAGCTCCTTTCGATGGAATGATCATGAAAATCCCAAGCAGAGCAAGGCAGCCCCTAGAAAGCTCAGGGGCCATCCTCCTTTCTTAGCACCGGCCCTGGCCGAAAATCTGTGGGGGGGGACCGCCTTGCCGGTGTGTGTGTGTGTGCGCACGCGCGTGTGTGTGTGTGTGTAAGTGTAATCATAATTAGACAAAAGCTGACAGGGTGAGGGCTTTTTCCTGTTGTCATAAATCTCTGCAGATTCAAAACCCAAACACAAAGGGCCCCCGCTCAGAGATGCTCTGAGCCAAACTCAGCAGCAAGATATGCGGGTATGGCTGATCCAGGGCTTTCATGCCTGTCCTTCCTTGGTCCCTAGCCCCTCACGCCTTTCTCACAAATGCCTCCTCTTTGCTTCCCACCCACACGGATCAGTGAAAAATCTCTCCTGTGCGGTGGTAGCTCCCATAGGGCCACTGTTGGGAGAGAAGCCCTTGACTTTGCCAAGAAATTAATTCCCCCTTTATTGTTACTTTCATCTCAAGCTGGAGCCTTGGCTTTCCGCTCAGCGCTTCTCTTTCTGAATTTGTTCTTCTCCGAGAACTCATCCGTGCCATCACGTTAACCCCATCCAAGCTCGTGACGGGAGGATGAGGTCATTTCAGGGTGCCCGGCACCACGCCTGGCACGCGGCAGGCTTCTCGCAGAGAAGTGTCTGGTGCACGGAAGGTGGAGTGCAGTTCCTGACACATAGTAGGCTTTTCACAGAGGGCTGAGCATGGTACCTAGCACCCAAGAGGCTTTTCACGGGGTGCCGAGCACCGTGCCTGGCATGTAGAAGGCTTCTTAGTAAATGTTTACAATTACTTATCAATACCACCTCTAGGAATCTTTTCTTGATCACGTTCTCTGTTCTCTCCAGGTGATTAGACTCTCATTGATTTCCACTGCCTCAGTTTCTTTATCTGTTAAATGAGGAACTTTGCCCATGCGGGACTACCTGAGGTGCACGTATGATGGTCTAATCGCATGGGTCTGCAGAGCGGAGGAGACTGGCAGAGTCTGGTGCAATTATCTGCCTTGCCTATGTCCGTGTGCCTTGCTGGGATTCGCCCCCCACCTCCCTCTCCCTACTGAGATGCTTCCGGTCCGTCACACTCGCCGCTGGGGGCTGCCCACCTTGGCGATCTCTCTTGTCTTTCTCTCCCCTTTCTTTTTGAAGTCCTTACTGCTGGATGCACAGAAGCCAAAGCTTCTAACTCTTCTGTTTGGTTTCAAGCATAGTCAGTGAAGGGGTGAGTGACGTAAAGGTTCAGTCTGTATTACACACACTTTGTCCCCATTCCCTTTACGATGCCTGGTGGAAGGCTGAGAACGGGTTCAAAAGAAGCTTAGCAGTTGATTGGCTTATAAACTTAACGGAGGACCATGGGGAGGAGAAGGGGAAAAATAGTTGGGGAGAGGGAGGGAGGCAAACCATGAGAGACTCTTGAGTACTGAGAACTGAGGGCTGATGGGGATGGGGGGAGGGGAAGGGGGGTGATGGGCATGGAGGAGGGCACTTGTGGGGATGAGCACTGGGTGTTATATGGAAACCAACTTAACAATAAACTATGAAAGGGAAAAAAAAGAGTGCATCTCAAGAAATTTTATCTTCTTATTTTTTTCCCCTGGTTGATCACCACTGAACGCTGTAACAAACAGTAACCGTCGTCAAAAAAGTAAAGAGAAATCACTCTGCGTTCTAATCCTATTGCATATTAGCGGTTAGATTTTTTTCCCCCTACTTTCTTTTCTTTTCTTTTTTTTTTTTTTGTCCTTATGCGCCAAGAATTCATATAAAGCTGTGATCATAGTGTAGCTGGAATTTGGCATTCTGCTTTTTTTCCACTCAATATGCAACTGTGGGTACTTTTTCATTTTGTGACAGAATCTTCAAAATTATCATTTTTTTTTTTAGGGTCTGCATAATACTCAAGCGTGTGGGTGTCGCATAATGCACTGAACTGTTTCCCTCCTGTTGATAATGGAGGCTGGTTCTGAAATCTCACTGTAACAGACAAAGCTGTAATTCACGCTGTTGGCACAGGCTGAACACCTACCATGAAGCCGAAGCGGTTACTTGGTTCTGCAACAGGCAGCGGGTGCCTGTGACTTTGATCTTCTTTTGGATTCTTTCCTGAGGGCAGGGGTGGTGCGAGAGAGCACAAGCCTATCTGTGGCTTCCCAGTGATTTTTAATAGAATCCCAGGGTCTCTGCTTAAAAACGTAAGGAATCCCTGGAAGTCGCATTTGAAAGAAGGTGGTAGGGACGTGGGTCTCAGATGCTGACATTTTCTGCTCCTCTGACATCAGCATGAATCATTGACTCGGGGGCTAGGAAGGCAGGTTAAGGACAGTCAAAGGATGAGGGGTTGGAAAATTCTCCATGGAAAATAGGGAAGGCAGACTTGTTACTTTTTCAGAAGAGTAGCTACTTCCTGATCTACTTTTCCTGTCCCTTCCCCCAATGTACTACCCAGTACTACCACCAGCTACTCTGATGTCCTTTCAGATTCTTCAATTTAACAGTCTTTCCTGACCCTGAGCCTTAGCACATGCTATTCCACCTGGTCATAAGTGCTGTTCCTTTGCCATTTCTCATCCCTTAATGCTCAGCCCAAATCTCACTCTCTGATGGACGCTACGTCCAATCTCCCTATCTGCCTATGTTCACCAGCACCTTGCATTTCTCCACCAGAGCACGTTATCAAAAGTGTCAATCAATACATTTTTAAATTAGTGTTTTTGTCCCTCTTCCCCAGCTAGACTCAAAGCTTCACAAGGACGGTGACTCTCAAGGTGGTTTTGCGCCGGATCTTGGGCCCTAGCACAGCCCCTGGCCCATCACAGGCGCTTGGTAGTTAGTGGGTCAGGGTACGAATGGAGGAAAGGATGCTTGCAAAAATATCACTTAAGGGGATAAAGGCAAAGACTGCTGGACAGACAATGGCAGTTCCTTTTCCAGACCACAGCTTGAGAGATGCAAGTTACAGAAAGGAAGAGCTACCTGAGGGTTATGGAAACAAGCAAAAGTCTATCCTGGAAGTCTTCAAAATATGCCTGCAGTGTCTAGACATCTGAGAAACAGGCGGCGAACTTCCAATATCGAGCTTTGGAGCTCTCTTTCTGTGTCCCGCTGGAAGTATCAGGACAACCTTGAATTATGTGCAAATCTTTAAAAAAAAAAAAAAAATCTGAGGGGCGCCTGCGTGGCTCAGTGGGTTAAGTGGCCAACTTCAGCTGAGGTCATGATCTCACAGTTCATGAGTTTGAGCCCCACGTCGGGCTCTGTGCTGACAGCTCAGAGCCTGGAGTCTGCTTCAGATTCTGTGTCCCTCTCTCTCTGCCCCTCCCCTGCTTGCGCTCTGTCTCTCTCTCACTCAAAAATAAATACACATTAAAAGATTTTTACAAAACAAATGTGAAAATCCAGACCCTCGGAAGACTCTCCTTTCTGAAAAACTTCCCAAATTTCACCTAATCTGGTCTCAATCTGTCACCTTCACCAGATCTCCAATCCTCTAGTCCTTGCAGAGAGTTGTTTCTTTATTATGAGGCTAGATGGACGGCTGACTTTCTCTGTATCTTACAACTTATTGCTGGGCAGTGAAAAGACCAGAACAGCGGCTCTGAGACATCCCTGAATCCCCTCAAGAGCTGGGGGTGGAGAAGAGCCTGAGCATGAGGTGCAACATGCACATCATCTCAAGGCAGCTGGCTTTTCTCTCTCCTTCCCAGTGTTGCCATGCACAAGGCCCTAGTCTGTAGCTTCAGGATCAGGAGTCGGATTGTAAACCAGCGTTTCCCACCATAGGACTGCCACCACCAGCAACATGATCTCCCTGCCTCCCACCCCTTCATCCCCTGCATACCACCGGTGACTCTTCAAAACTCCAATCTGATCATGTCACCATTTTGGTCCTTGGGTGGCCCTCGCTCACATCCATGTTGGAGTCCACATGTCCTTGGTCCGGCACATGAACGACTGAGAAATAAACCTCTCTATATTAAGGTCGTGTTAATGCAGCTACCATAATTAAGCATTGCAAGTCATACAGTAGCTTGGCAAGTTACTCCACTGCACTGCTCAAATGATGAGACCAGTAGAGCATCCGACGAGCTCGTGCGTGTGAAGTGTTCAGCACAGAGCTGGTAATACCAAGCCCCCGACCTATGTTTCCTAGTGTGACTATCACTTATCATCATCAGCCCTCCTCTAAATGAGGGCTACTGTTCTTTTAAGAGACAGAAGAGCAAGGACCAGTCCGGTGCGCTCTAGAGCACACACCTTACCTTTTCACTTCTTGCACATAGTCTGCTTTTCTATCAAAGAGGTGGGTCATGGAGTCTTTGATTGCTTCATGCTTGAAAGTAGACGCCGTTCCAAAGACAGTCACATTGGGGACAGTGGAACACAGCTGAGCCACCGCTTGGCCCTGGAAGTGAAACACAAGAAATGGGTCACACGGGAGAGTCACCACCTGACAACCAGTCTCGCTGGGTGTAGAGAAGGATTTCTCAACCTTGCCACTACTGACCTCTCTTCAGCTGGATTCCTCTTTGTTGTTGGGGCTGAACTGGGCTCCATAAGATGCTTAAATAGCACCTCTCACCTCCACCTGCTAGGGGCTGGTAGCTCCCCTCAGTTCTGATGACCAAAAACATCAAGGGGACAAAGTCTCCCTTGGCTGAGAACTACTGGTGTAGAGGAGAGTCAGTGTAAGCCACCAAAGCCACAGTACCGAGACTCAATCACTATTCTTTATCCACACTGAGACTTGGGCTCCTCATCTATAAAGTAGCAGTAATGGCACCTACTCCTTGGGACCTTGGGAGCTGTTCTGGTTTGGGTTCCCCCCGAAGCAGACCCTGAGGCAAAGATTTGAGAGTAAGTACTTTATCTAGAATATGACCACAGGAAATACCAGGCTATCAAGACAGAAACCGAAGGCAGCCAATAAAGGCTGTGCCGTCAAGGCAACAGCCACCATGGGTAACTAGAGCTCAGTCCCTCTGAAGAACTCCATGAGCAAGCATGGAAGACACCTCAGAGGTATTCCCAGCACGTGGTGAGGAGGCTGGAGTATTTATCCCCCGAACTTGCATCTGATGTCTGTCGGTGGTTGCTTCTACAGCATTAACTCCCAGGCACGTCTGGCTCATCCTCAAGCCAAGCGCGCTCCCACAGCCAGACAGAAGCCCTAAGTAAACAGCCTTCAGCAATGTTGAGTGCAGAGAAGATATGGTGACAGCATCTGCTATGGGGCGTGTTAAATGAGGCAATATGTAACACGGGTCAAGCACCTGACATAAACCATGACACTTAAAATGAGGTACTCAATAAATCTTAATCATCTGTACTCCCTTATGGCTGAGATGTCCAGGCATATAAGGAAAAGCCCAATGTGTGAGGTTTAAGTATTGAATGGCCTAAGAGAAATTACAAATTTAGTAAGAATGGGTGGGTTTTCCATATCCTTTTTCAGTATGGTCAAAAACATAAGTCATTGGACAAAATCCTGTAATCATGTGAATTCAGAAGCCTTCCAGTAAAACCCAGTTTGCTGGTAATGAGGTGCATCCCAAAACTAACTGCACTCTTTCCAACATTCCATCTGCCATCTTAAGGAGGCAGAAATTATTCTACCAAAGTCACCTGTGAAATGTAACTTCTGCATAACACTTCATTACATGTCTTCATGTTGGTGGACTAAATCAGGTTGGCAGGTCTATTTCTGGAAATGTTTTTTTTTTTTTTTCTTCCCAACATTCGCAATGAAAGGCAACACTGAGAAAAGCACACAATGTCAGAGCTGCAAGATCATCCAATGATCCCCACCCCATCATTGTTTTACGGATGAGGGAAAGGTGACTCAGAAAGGTTAAAGTGACTCAGATCTTTAGAGACAGATCTGAGATTCAAAGCAAGGTCTTCTAACTTCTAGTTATTGCCATTTTCTATAATGCCATGCTGTCTACTTATTTTGACATTTTAAGCTAAGCAGATTTTGAAGCCACTGCCTAAAATAGGCCTGTTACTGACTTGGAGGTCAACATTTCAGGACATGGGCATGAACCGAAGACTCCAGACAGGCTATCTTTCTCTGTTCTAAGAATAGCTTTGATATTTGGTTAATTTTTTGTCTCATCCTTTGATTTTAGAGAACAAAGAAGGGACTATCCTTCTTGGTGAGTGGAAATGTCAACAGCCAGTGTGGCAATCCTCTAAAACTCAACAGGGCTTGGGTTGACCTCGTTTGTGCTGGGATGGGAGATGAGAACTAGTTCCAATCTGCATGGTCCCTCCTGCCTGCTGTCCCTGGACGAACATGACTCTTATTCACACGACTACTTTTCCAAATTCCTGTTGTGTACTGGTCACACCATGCTGTGGATGGAAGTGGGAGTATCAAGAATGAATGATATACCCGATCACATGGTGTAATCTCTATCTCTGCCCCACCACTCCCCCCGGCCACCGAGCCTTAGATTTGTGTATCGAATGACCACTTTGATGCCTGTCTCCACCTGGCTATCCAAAAACACATCGAATTCAAGCTATCCAAAACATAACCCTTGGCCATCTCCAAATGAGTTACTCCTTGTATTGGTTTGCTGGCTGCTGTTGTAACCAAATACCACAAACTGGGTGGCTCAACCGACAAATTTGCCTCACAGCTGGGGAGGTTAGAAAGTCCAAAATCAGGGCGTAGGGAGGGTTGGGTCCTTCCAGTGACTCTGAGTGAAGGGTTTGATCCAGCTCTCTCTGCTTGGCTTGTAAATGGCTCTCTTCTTCCGAGACCTCTTCACATGGTCTTCCCAATACGCCAACCTGTGTCCAAATTTCCCCTTCTTATAAGGACAGCAGCCATATCAGATTAGGATCTACCATCATTTAAACGTGATTACCTCTGTAAGGACCCTACTGCCAAATAAGGGCACATTCTGAGATAGTGGCACTTAGGACTTCAACACATCAAGGGGGCAGGGCATGGTTCAACCCATAACATGCCTCTTACTGTGTCTCCTGCCTCAGTGGATGAAATTGTACCATTTGCCTATCCCCAGGCTACAGTCAGGAATCTGGGGGTCCTCTGACTCTTCTTCCTCCCTTGGCCTCACATCCAACTAGTGTACTGTTTCCACTTCACATCTTTGTGACTCTCACTTCTTAGTCTGGGTCGTTGAATCTCCTCACCTGGATGATGACAGCACCCTTCTGGCCGGCCTGGGTGTTTCCACGTGTACCTCACACTGTGGACAGAGTGAATTTTCTCAAACACAACACTGAGCATCTCACAATTTGTCTCAGAGCTTCCCATCACCTATCATGGCTTTCAGAAAGAAAAGTACCCCCTTCAGTTTATCCCACAGGCCAGCCCTCTGGCAGGTGACCCAGTCTACCTCACTAACATGAGGCAGACTCCACTTTTCCAGTCTCTGCCCCCTAACAAGACACAGCACTCGATCCACCACCGATCACCCATTCGCCGAGCCTGGTGCTGTATGACCCTCCTCCCACGGTGTTCTCAGAATGAACCTTTAACCTAATTTTGCTGAGGAGGAGACTGAGGTTTCCAGAGATTAGGCACCTGGCCCAAGGCCAGTAGGGTAAGATGGCAGCCCTTGATCTGCTGTACTCACCAGCTGGGCAACCTTGAGTAACATTAGGAGTTCTTTTGGCCATTCATCTTAAAATGCAGAGTGTAATGCCATATAGAAGGTTTCTGTGTGACTATTTGACAAAACGCATCCAAGGGCTTAGTGAATGCTCACTCTTGCTATCATTACTACTTTGAATACTATTATTATTTTTCTTGCTATTACTATTACGTCAGTAAGAGGAGCAAATCTACCATTCTACTCTCCTGAATGTATCACGCTATTTTAGCGTCGACACTAGTTTCTCAGAGGCTGTCCCCTCCATATCATGCCTGTTCTTCCACTTTCTTCTTCAGACCACAGCCCTCCCCCCCACCCCCCACCTAGGCAACTCCTCTTCTAGAAATCCTCCCCAGGCACGTGCCTCACCTTCCCTTCTTGCCTCTTTTTGTGCTACCACAGACCTGTGGTTCCTTCCTCCGAGACAGTGGCCACCACGGCCCCCTGTCATCACTGACTGATCTGTCCGTGAGCCTCAGGAGACCAGGGACCGTGCCATATATCTGGCTCTGTACCCCAGTGCCCAGGGCAGAGCCTGGCACATAACAGGTGTTTGGTAACACTTGTTGAATCGGCACGTGAGAAACTACAGGAATGTGATGTAACAGGGATGCCCCCATCAGTTTGCGGCTTGCTGCATCCTTTAGCATTGCAGAGGAGGGGTAAATCACAGCTTCGATTAACCAATCTGGCACCCAACCCGAGCAGAACGTGACCACTCCTTTTTATTTTTTATTTAAAAAACTTTTTAAATGTTTATTTATTTTTTTGAGACACAGAGAGAGACTGAGCACAAGTGGGAAAGAGGCAGAGAGAGGAGACACTGAATCAGAAGCAGCCTCCAGGCTCTGAGCTGTCAGCAGAACCCCGACCCGGGGCTTGAACTCAAGAATCGCGAGATAAAGACTTGAACCAAATTTGGACGCTTAACTGACTAAGCCACCCAGACACCCCATCCTTCCATTTTAAAGCAAAAAATATGTGTGGTAGCAAACTGAGATGGTATAAGTAACTAGGTTACTTATATATTTATATTAACGTATACGAGTAATTTATATAATATAAAATACAGAAATATAAATATATAATATAATGTATAATTAGAATATATAATTAGTATCATATGTATAGGTATAATCAGTATTGTATAAACATATATATATAAATAGTAATATTTAGTATATAATAATCCATTTGCAAAGTATTAGTATAATAATAAAATATTATATAGTCATTTAATATATACTTAATATAATTAACATAGCATGCCAGTATTATCTACAGTGAGATAATTACATATTTACACATTACCATGTAAATAATAATGGGTGGAAAACCAAGTTCAGTGGGCGGGTATTTGTTGCAACCCGCACCTGAGCTCTCTATTCATTCACTGAGGCAATGAGAGGCCCTCACAAGATCCTCATTGATCTAAAGTAAATAATACTCAGCATTCGGTATTTAAGCAGAATGTGTGCTTTCCCTCGCACGGACAGCAAATCAGTACTCTCCCTTCTCCGCCTCCCAAGGCGAATGCATCTAAATTATCCTCGTTTCTCCCACGTGCCTAGCAAATACCACGGACTCAATAAACATTTGTGGAAGATGGAATGAATTTTCAATAAAAAGGATTTTGCAATTTACCTGCAGACCCAGAACATAAAATGAACAAGACAATCCATTCTCCCAGCAACAGCAGCAAATGGAGATCTGCATGTACTTGTTTTTAATTGCTTTTCCTTTCTCTCTTTCGAATGGAAGAGCTCTGCAGCAA